ACTGATCACGAAGATCAGTCTGGCTGTAGCCGGTCCTGTCTGCAAGCTCGTTGAAGTGTGCGTAGTACTCGACGACAGAGAGGCTACGCTGGTGCAGGGCCTGCAGGGCTGCCTTCACGTCGACTGCCTCGTCGGCTGTCTCGAACCGCGTTTTGAACGCCGCCCTGAAGGTCGTCCAGTCGTTGTTGAACACGGCCAGCCCGTTACCGATCGTTTCCAGGTAGGAGGTAGCCCAGATCGCAGCGTCGTCGGTGAGGAGAGTGAGAGCCAACTTGATCCACTTTGCGTCGTCACGATCGAAGCCACCTGTGGCGTTGGCAGTGTTCAGATGGCCGCCCATCTGCATCGTGTAGACTTGGAAGGACGCTACGAAGTGGCGTGCATCCAAACTGGTCTTGCCGTTGTACGGCTGGGGCTTGTTCGCGACCTTGGTCGTGTCCTTCGTGGCTTGGGTGTTGACGTTCGAAGCCACTATTGCGTTCGTCATAGCTTGGGGGAGGGTGGTGGACAGGTTCTGGAACACGGTTGCCAGATCTGTCACCGCCTGCGTAAGGTTGGCCTGTCCAGCAACCAACTGCTGCTGGTTCGCGGTGAGGGCCTGCATGAGGGCCTGAAACTGCTGGGCATCCATGACGAGTAGTGTGATAGCAGTGTGCGTCTCGTCGTATCTAGCCCTGTGGGTCGTATAGGTAACAGGGGTGCAGATGTGAGGACATGGTTGGTTGTCGCACTCTCGCCAGAGGAGGTTGTTTCGCTTGTTGCGGACGATGTGGACGTGCCTGTTGTCTTCGGTGTCAACAGCATGCTGATGACCTGTGCAAGCCACCGTGCTTTAGGAACCAGGGTACGCTCCGGGGAAGTGAACACCTATTGAGGCTTCTGGGCAGCCAATCAGTCGGGATGACCAACTGCGCGGATAGAGTTGTTGGCCGGGAGCGGGGTAGTGTTCTCAGAGTGTGGTACTCGAGCTCAACAGACCCAGGAAGACTGCGATACGCCTAGAACTGTATAGTTCTGGCAGGTATGCAGGGTAGGGGGAGAGCAGGCCGAGTGGCACAGGGTGGGGGACGATGCTTGCACGAGTGGGGGCGATCCGATGCTTTGATGCCAGCACTCACTGGTTAGATCTCGACCTAATGATGCAGGAGCAAGCCGCAAACGCCAATCAGTGGTGAGGGAGGGGTGGATGGGTATAGATGGACTTGGTAGGAGTGGGCCATTACTGGCAGAAAACAATTAATGAGATGTGGAATATAATGAGAAGCTATGAGAGACCTTAATATGCTACATTTAACGTTGTGTTAAACACCACTACTATCACCACAGACAGACAAGAACAGAACACATAGCAGGAGTCCAAACATTGTGGAAGCTAGGACTAAAGTGCTTACTATGCATATCAATGCCAATACAGTTACAACACCCTGTGTTATAGCTGCCCTTCTCAATACAGTCAAGGTTTTATGTGCTGTATTTGATTTTACAGAGGCAGAATACACACTATCATTCCACATAGCTAGACCACCTGAAGGGGGAGCTAGAGAAGACAAAGAGGTTGCAGTCATGTAGGCCTTCTACATAGCTTTCTGATGCATATCCAATCACCCCAAACAGATAAGAACTGAGGTCACATGAGCTCTCTAAAGTTAGTAGGCACCAGTGATTATATCTACACTGTCCCTTATCTAATGTGTTTAAAGCCAAGCTGTAAGCACATTAGTAACATACTCTATAGTAGCTGCTTTCATGAATATAATCAGGGTTTTAGGCAATTGATTGGATTTTACAAAGCCTGAATACCCATTGTTACAACCAGGCCTGCATAGCACAGCCACATGTAGAAAAAAGCGGCACTACCAGGGATTGAACCCAAGGCTCCTGGGTCCCCCACCTAGGTGCTGTACCAGCTGAGCTGAGCTGAGTTTGAAAAAAGCGTTCAAAGCAGGCACCTAGCTGCACTTTCAGCCACTGTGGCAGCTGTGGCAGGGGTAGAAGGGGGCAAATAGTGCCAAACAGTGTCCATATATGGTGGAGAGGCACGAGAGAGGCAGCCGACAAAGATCGGGCAGCACAGCCCCACCAAAAGAGGATGGATTGCAGCCGGGCTTGTGGATGACAATTTTAGGTGGCTGGGTGTGGCTTGCAGTAGCTGGCAGTGGTGGCTGTGGCTGAGAGCGAAAATAGGCGCCCAGTAGCGCTGAGATGGGCTGGGTGGCTGGTCCCAGGCTCTAAACATGCTGTTATGGACTCAAATGACACAACATGATGAAACAAAGTACATAGATTGTGTGTGCAGTACTACTAGTGCCTACCTACCAAAAATGAAGCAGATCCAACCATGGGAAGGGGATGGATGGCATGCAGGTCTTATGGATGTAGCAGTGCAATGGGCGCCTCTGAAATAGACGCCCATGAGCACTGTGCTAACCCATACCATCAGTATGTGCACAGAGGGGCCAAAAATGCGAAGTGGGGGATAAATAGGGGGTCTACAGAAAGAGCACACACCTGGGAACAATCTGGCAGTGTTCTAAGGGTGAGAGGGCATGGGAAGGGAGGCACAGTGACGTCAAAGTACCATGGGAATCAGCATATCAACAAAGGCACACTTACCTAACACCCACAGACACCCAAAGCTGACCAGAGAGTTGAAGAGAATGCTGAATCCATCTCACACAGAACTCGGTCTGTGCTCCAACGACCCGGCCACCCAAAATGGCAATGTCGCAGGCATCCCAGGCTCAAGACCACCACTCTAAATTGGTGCACCAAGTAGGCATGGTACAGGAGCACAGGGACTGTAGGGGGGCATCCTCCCACTCATAAGCACTGACTTTGGCCAAAAGCCAGGCAACAGAGGTGAAGGGTGGATGAGAGTCCCCCAAGAGAGGAGGAGCAGTGGCAGGAGCGATGAGAGTGCGCTGGTGGCGCTTATGTAACAGTTTTCTCACACACCATATTAGGCAACTGCATCTGGGAACATTGCTTACACTCTCTATTGCTCATTTCATGTCCGTTTCTTATGATTTAAACTATGCTGAGTACGTATTCAAAGTGGCGTTTGAATGGTGTATGTTACATAAGCATATTCCCAGGCACAGCACTATAACCCAGTCAACACTGCCAAGCAGTAGTTGCTACAGTATAGCAGCTGCAAAGCACAATACATAACATAACATATACTGTCTTGTAGCCCTTCGAAGAGGTGTTCTAATACACCTACATATATAGTGATTGGCTCAGAAACAAGCCTATAATCAGCCATATACAGTACATATAGTGCTGCAGCAGTGTTACCCAAAGCATTCCATCGCATCTGCTTCTAGAATCACGTGACATAACCTATTAGATCCCTCTCATCAATGCGCATCAAACGCACTCAAGACCATCCAAAACGGACATCATCTGAGCTCATACCAACAGTTACAATATATGAACCATATGTCATTGACCTTGCAGTGCTTCCAACACTGCATTGATATGAGTGCTTTGTTGACATCTAGACTGGCTGCTATGTGGACTAGATTCACGAATATAACCAACATTATAGGTAATTGATCTGATTTACTAGTAGGCAGGCATAGGTGGAATGGGCAGAGGCAGGGCGATACAGCCACTGGGCGTCTAATAACTTGCGGAAGCCTCACTTTTCTGAAATCAGCCCTTCAAAATTCGAATCAATTACGATAAATCTTGAGTATATTCATAGTAGTAGTCCACATAGACTCTGACTGAAGCCCCAAAGAGCACCCATCTCAGTCTAGTTGAATAGGTGTAGACACTAACAGGCACTACAAAGTGTAGAAAGGAGTGAAGTGCTGGGCCCAGGTGGCAGTGCAAACCCAGCGCTAGTGGAACCCTACAGGGGACCCTAACCCAGAGCTAGGGTGATGGGAGTAAGTGGAAAACCTATGCGTGGGAAGTGGCTGTGCTAGTCAAGAGTAATCGGAGTCTGGAATATATTCCCACGGCGTTGAGTTAAGGGTGTCGCGCGTCGCAGCCAGAGCCCACCCCATAAAGAACGATTCATTCGTACCTCATTAATCGTAAGGTTGGATGACCTCAATGTAGTGGTGCAGAGGTGTCGCCGGCACTAGGCGCAAAGCAGACACAAACTAGAGTCACAGGAGGGATGTCTAGCCCACAAAGACCAAGAGGTCGAGATGAGGGCTAGGACACGAAGTGCAAGTGCTAAGTGAGGGCGCGACACGGGCGCTTAAGCGCGGGAACAACCTTCCAATATAGTAACAGGCAGAGAAAAGGTGAGGAAAAGGCGAAAAATAATACATAGGGCAAGTCCAGAGTCCGTTCCACGACAGGCAGGGGCTGAGGCACGGTGCACGAAGTGGTTCACCTTCTTCCAGACGTTGAATGCTTCGGTCGCGATGTGGTACTCATTGATGAGAGGCTCGGTGTGGGAGATATGCTGGGTGCGGTAGCGGATGTGGCCATGGAGGTCGGAGTGAGCAACAGTCCAGTTGATATGGTTCCCGAGGGACCCTCGGCTCTTGTTAGTGCAATAGAGAGTTGGAAGGTGGTCATAGTAGACCTGGGGGCGATTGTTGATGAAGTTGGGGGTGTTGTGGATGTCCAGTGTATTGAAGCAGATGGGATAGAGGCGTGGAGCGCAACGAGGAGTAGAGCGGTGGTGGCGAGGCATCTGGAGAATCACATTCGAGGTGAGAGTAGGATGAGGGTCAGAGGAGCTTGTGTCTCTTCTTATATAAGGTATGCCCAGCACAGACACAACTATGTGTGATTCGTGTGACACATCACGTGCAGGTGACCGATAAGCCTCGGCAAGTCTAGCGTCTATGTTGGAATTAGCGTGCATAGCGAACAGCATCGTCCCCGTTGTGTACAGTAGAGCGATAGAGATGTTAAACTGGGTGTAGTATGTACGGGAGGGACTAGGAAGCTTTCTGTAATGTATGTATGTTGAACTGTTGCAGAATATCATGAGGTAATGTATGATGACCTGAGTATTTCTTTGCAGCCCATGTTGCTCCGGTCCCGGTGAGTCCGCTACAATAAGCTTCCATAAAACGGAAGGCACAATTAGTGTATCTACGTATCTTAAGTATGTCCACCTGCTCTAGAGAAGCAAGCAAGTTCTGCTCTAAGTCAGCCTTGGATGAGGATGGTGGGAAGTCACGGTAGGTTTGTTTCCCTGCGCACCAGCACTGCTCGATGGGGTTGATCTCACAGTAAAACTTTGGAAGAAACACTAGCCCAAACCCACATGATTGGCAGAGCAACTCAGCGATGCTCTCGGTGTTCTCGAAGTCCAGCTTGTTATACAAGAGACGCCGGCAGCGGCATTGGTCTGCCATGTTTGGAGGGCACTTAAAAGTGGGGCACTCACTGCGCAAACTGTGCACATCTGTGAAGCCCCACTCTTCAAGCAGCTCAACCATGCCCTTGAAGCGGCCGCAAAAGTTAGGGTTGGGGTGGTCATCTGAGAAGTAAAGCTCCTGTGCTGTTCCATCAGGGAACATCGTGTTCAACATTCTGATCTTCTGCTTCTGCAGCTTGCCATTCTGGTTGTAAAGGGGCTTCCCGTTTGGGCCGATCACATTTGTCTTGACTCCCCACAGAGGTTTCTCTGGCTTTGTCTACCACTTGGTCATGTGCTGTGCTGAGAGAGCATCTTCAGCTCGCTTCTTGTGGATTGTTGCATTGTCGATGATGAACATAAAGCAATACTTTAGGTAATCGTGCTTGCAGATGTCCATGGCAGTGGTGAGTTGAACCAGAAAGCAATCTGAAGTGAAATATCCATCTCGGTTCTTTCCCGCCCGAAGGAGAACATGGGCTGATCAGCTTCCATCTTTGGACTGCAGCCAGCCAAGCTGGGAGGAGACGAAGTCGGCGACCATGAGTGATGCACCCTCCTCTTTCTTCTGTGGCCTAGGTGTCTTCCCGCACTCCTGCCACCTCACTTCCCTCCTGTTGTGAGCATAAAACGTGGATTTGTCATGGAAGAGGACAACCAATGGTTGCAGCTGGGGGCCAACAATGCATGGACCAAAGAATGGGAGGTAGCAGCTGTCGGTGGAGTTGAATTGGGGGATCATATGGTCGACTTCCTTCAGCTGCTGCAGGAAGACGTTTTGACGGTACTCCACAACATCCTCTCTTTTGTGCCCATCCACAAATTGATCTGACGGTGCCTTCTTCCACTGGAACCTGAGCTCTGACATCCAAACGTGAGCACTTGCCAGTGACACCTTGATCTTGATGCCGAATTCATCCTTGACTGCTGGATCTGACAGATACTCGACCAGATCGAGAGCCCACACATTCATCCCCACTCCGAGGAGCTTCTCCATGACCGCACTCTTCAACAGGGTGTTCAACTCGAGAAGAGAGACCTTTGAACAAACACCTTGTGTCTCGAATGGAAGATCATGCCGGTCGCGGATGAAGGCATAGGTCCACTGGCGAAGAACTTTCGCACGTGCGGAGCCTTTCCCATACAGTAGTGCAACGTGCCAGGACACAGTGATCCACCCCACCCGTTGATCCTCGTTCAATGGGCAGACTGCATAAATCCAGAGTAGGTTCTTCATTTCTATCATGCGGGCATGAAGCCAATCATCCCCTAGGTCGAAGGATGTGTGGCCAGGCTTGCCCTTCAGACGACGTGGTGAGAGAAGCAGCAGCAGCTCAGCATGTGCATGCTGCGTGCCCTTAAGAGTGGGCGGAACAGTGCCACATTCGGTGTGTGACGGCAGGGCTGGGAAAGTGCCCAAAGGACCAGCCAATTCAACAGATCCCGAAGCTGCAGGAATGGACCTGGCGGCGGAGGAAACCACAGCCACGTGCAGCGGCGATGAAAGACATGGTGCCAACAGAGATGGATGGGTTGGGGTTGTGATGACCGGTGTGACAGATAATACACCACCACTGGGGGAATTGTAGGGCCCTGAGGACCATGTCGAGGTTGTGATGGAAGTGAAGGTATGATTTAGTCTCGCTTGAATGATGTTGATAGGCTGAGAGTGTGAGAACACAGCGCTTTCTAGTGTGGCAGGCAACTCGGCCTGAGTTGAAGTCTGCAATCATCAGGTGAGTAGACTGCAAGGGCGCATCTGGTTGGGCTTTCACTTACCGCATTCTCATCAATCAATATTGGATCGTTAGAGACCTCCTCGCACCCAGCATGCAGCGTAGTCATTGAGCTGGCACTGCTCGGGGGCTGCGCTGCCTCAGATCGGACTGTGGTGTCAAGGCCTGGTGTAGTGGAACGGACTCTGGACTTGCCCTATGTATTATTTTTCGCCTTTTCCTCACCTTTTCTCTGCCTGTTACTATATTGGAAGGTTGTTCCCGCGCTTAAGCGCCCGTGTCGCGCCCTCACTTAGCACTTGCACTTCGTGTCCTAGCCCTCATCTCGACCTCTTGGTCTTTGTGGGCTAGACATCCCTCCTGTGACTCTAGTTTGTGTCTGCTTTGCGCCTAGTGCCGGCGACACCTCTGCACCACTACATTGAGGTCATCCAACCTTACGATTAATGAGGTACGAATGAATCGTTCTTTATGGGGTGGGCTCTGGCTGCGACGCGCGATACCCTTAACTCAACGCCGTGGGAATATATTCCAGACTCCGATTACTCTTGACTAGCACAGCCACTTCCCACGCATAGGTTTTCCACTTACTCCCATCACCCTAGCTCTGGGTTAGGGTCCCCCTGTAGGGTTCCACTAGCGCTGGGTTTGCACTGCCACCTGGGCCCAGCACTTCACTCCTTTCTACACTTTGTAGTGCCTGTTAGTGTCTACACCTATTCAACTAGACTGAGATGGGTGCTCTTTGGGGGCTTCAGTCAGAGTCTATGTGGACTACTACTATGAATATACTCAAGATTTATCGTAATTGATTCGAATTTTGAAGGGCTGATTTCAGAAAAGTGAGGCTTCCGCAAGTTATTAGACGCCCAGTGGCTGTATCGCCCTGCCTCTGCCCATTCCACCTATGCCTGCCTACTAGTAAATCAGATCAATTACCTATAATGTTGGTTATATTCGTGAATCTAGTCCACATAGCAGCCAGTCTAGATGTCAACAAAGCACTCATATCAATGCAGTGTTGGAAGCACTGCAAGGTCAATGACATATGGTTCATATATTGTAACTGTTGGTATGAGCTCAGATGATGTCCGTTTTGGATGGTCTTGAGTGCGTTTGATGCGCATTGATGAGAGGGATCTAATAGGTTATGTCACGTGATTCTAGAAGCAGATGCGATGGAATG